TATAATATAGTATATATAGATAGTTTATAAGAGCTTGTGTTAGAGCTAGCAGGAACCTGACTGTGCTGGGGTTGGGGTGGAGCTTGGGAAGATTTCACAGAGATTGCGTGTTAGCAGAGGTGAGTTTGCCAAGAGAAAGGAGGATTAATATAGACTAAAAACTATAGATTCATTATGTAGAAGTACATTTCTAAATATCTCTGCAATTTGGGAGAGAGAGGGCCTGGAAGGATGTTAGCTTCAAGGCCTGTCATTTCATAGTGGGATGTTAGAGCATAGACCCCAACCACTAGTCTATGACCTCCATACTGAGCATCTTTGTACGCTCATAGCCAAACACAGTGATTGGCATGTAGATTTCCTAGCTCTGCCTCTAAATCCTTTTGCATTGGAATTTCTCATGTATAAAACTAGACGATCTGGATTTTTAAGTTTTAAGGCTCCTTCCATCTATTCTCCAACCTAAAAATATAATTAAGTAATCCATGAAGATGGAGTTGGTTGCCAGCAAAAATAAGCATGACACTACTCTAGAGAAACCTATATGCACATTAAGAAAGAATGTTCTTAGCATTCGTATTTTAATATTAAAGAGCTGAGAACAAACCAAAGGTTCATTAAAAAAAGATAAATATGGGGCACCTGGGTGGCTCAGTGGTTGAGCATCTGCCTTTGGCTCAGGTTATGATCCTGGGGTCCTGGGATCAAGTCCCGCATCAGGCTCTCCACAGGGAGCCTGCTTCTCCCTCCACCTATATCTCTGACCCTCTCTCTGTGTCTCTCATAAATAATAAAATCTTTTTATAAAAAGTAGATTAATAAATTGTGATATAATCATCCAGTGGGCTGCTCTACAGCTATGGGAATATATGAAATATACCCACATGTATTAACGTGTAAATTTCATAAGTATTGATGCATGAAAAGAGCAATTGAGAAAAATATATACAACTTGATACCTAATTTGTAGAAGATCAAAATCATGCAATGCAGGTATGTTCTTTTGGGAATATAGGACATCAAAGGATATAGGACATGCAGGATACTAGAGAGGCAAGGGAATATTATCAGGAAGGGGCAAATACATAGGGAATTTCAAAAGTATTGGTAATGATGAAGTCAAGTTAAGACAAGTTACACAATAGTAACAAATAGCTGTAATATATCGACTTTTTAAAATAATAAAGATATATTTTTCTTTCTAGTTTCATGTCTAACATAGAATGACAGGTCATTCTTTTCCATGTAATTACTTTACACTGTGTTTTGGTGCTATCATTTAGGAGGAGTTCACCATGGCAGGAGGAGAAAAAGGTTGAGAATTGAGTATTGGCAATTAAATGGGAGTAATATGATTTGGAGAGCAATAAATACAATTATCTTGTGTGTTCCAAAAGAGAGGATAACATGTGTATCATTAAATAGCAATTATGTCTACTGTAGTGATGTTTTACGTGTTAAAATGTTACTATTTTTAAATTATCTGTACAGGTTAGATTTGTGTCATAACATATATGTCTATTTGATGTATGACTTGTTTCTTAATTAAAAATTAGAAATAGGGACGCCTGGGTGGCTCAGCGGTTGAGCGTCTGCCTTGGGCCCAGGGCGTGATCCTGGAGTCCTGGGATCGGGTCCCACATCGGCTCCCTGCATGGAGCCTGCTTCTCCCTCTGCCTATGTCTCTGCCTCCTCTCTCTCTATGTCTCTCATGAATAAATAAATAGAATCTTTAAAAAAATAAAAAAATAGAATTTTTTTTTAAAAAAGTAGAAATAAAAAAAAAAAAAACAGTGCTGCTACAATGCCACCAATGTCTAAAGAAAAAAAATTGTGGATTCTTTATTCCTGATCCTAGTTCTTTGCTGGATATGTTACAAATATCTTCTCCTCTGAATATCTTCTCCCAGCTTGTACCTTGTCTTATAACTTTTATCTTAAATAACAAAGTAGTTAATTTTAATATGATCAAATTCATCAACATTTCTGTGTCTTAAGAATTTAGTACCCTACCGTGAGGTGGTAGTACCCTACCATAAGATATTAATCCTCATATTCAATTAAGAGTTTTTAACAGTCATTTTTATTATAAGCTACAGCAGATTCAAAACATTGCATAAAGAAATGTGTTTTTTTTTTAAATTTTTATTTATCTATGATAGTCACAGAGAGAGAGAGAGAGGCAGAGACACAGGCAGAGGGAGAAGCAGGCTCCATGCACCGGGAGCCCGATGTGGGATTCGATCCCGGGTCTCCAGGATCGCACCCTGGGCCAAAGGCAGGCGCCAAACCGCTGCACCACCCAGGGATCCCAAGAAATGTGTTTCTAATAAGAATTTTTTAAAGTGTTGATTTGACATTGAGTCCATAATCCATTTAGAGAATGTTTTGTTTTTAAATGGTGTGAGTTATGTATCTGATTTTATCTTTTCTACATAGCCAGTCCATTTACTGAATGATTCCACCTTTTGCTGTGATAAACTCATGCTATCTCAGTCATATACCAGTGCTGCGTACATGAATGAACCTGTTTCTGGGTTCTTTGTTCTATTTCATTGGTCATTTTGTATATTCCTGTGTTCTCTGTTCTGTTCCATTGGTCTGTTTGTCTATTCTTTCACTAATACCCACTGTCTTGATTATTGTAGCTTTATAATGAATCTTGAAGTCGAATAATGCCAGTTCTCCAGTTTTGTTCTTTAATATTATGTTAGCTGTTCTGAGGCTTGCCTTTCCATATAAACTTGAGAATCATTGTGTCGGTATGCAAAAAATATCTTGGCTGGGATTTTGATTGGGATTGCAGTGAATCCATAGATCAAGTTGGGACGAATTGACATCTTGACAGTATTGAATCTTCTATTCATGAACATTGAATATCTCTCTATTTATTTAGTTCTTTGGTTTCACTATCAGAGTTTGTAGTTTTCTTCATAGATCTTGTACTTTCTTAGATTTATTCCTAAATATTACTTTTTTTTTTTTAGTGCTAATGCAAAAGGTTAGTTTCAGACTCTGCTTCTTCATTGTTGAGACATAGGAAAATAGATGACTTTGATATATTAATCTTGCATTTTGCAGCCTTGCTCTAATGGCTTATAGTTCTAGGAGTTTTTATATCATATGTTCTATTTTTAATTGGCCTGATTTGTTTATTGTTTGGTTTATTATTTTTTACTTTATTGTAGCATTTTAAATTTCATATGCAGGTTCTTTGAAAATGCAAAATAGAATGGAAGCTGCAGTACTGGATTTCATAGGGACTATTAATTCAGCTGATTGAGTGTAACTGGAAAGTAAAACAGGCTCAATGTTATTTTCTCATGGTGTGGATAAAGATCAGTAGGCAAGAATGAGTTCCTATCCTAAGATAAAGGGGGCTACTTTGTGTTTCTGACAAAAGTCAACAATAATATTTTACTTTTAGAGTGGGCTACTTTGTGTTTCTGACAAAAGTCCACAATAATAACATTTTACTTTCAGAGGTACATTTATCTTTTAAAAACATTTTCTTTACCTATCTCATTTAATCCTTGCACCAACTCCATGAGTTAAATAGAGTAGGTAAAATGTTCAGCCAGTTTGACAGATGAAGAAACTGAGGTATGGAATAATTAATTGACTTGCCTACAGTTACTGAGCTGGACAAAAGCAATACCAGAACTATGACTCCAGAGCTTTGAATTCTCTTTCTGGAGAAATAGATACTAGGCTTGTGTTGCTTCAGAAGTCAACATGCAGAATTTTAAAAGTCCTTTTTGAATTTGTTTACAAGGAGTTAACCACAATTTCATTTCCCAGGCATTTTATAAACAATACCATTTACAGATCTTATTAAACATAGTGTAAATGTGAGTCAAATTCACCAGTACTCTGCCTTACAAAGTTAACACTGGCATGGACAACCCAAAAAGTATAATGGGGGTAATAATTATTTAGTAGTGCTTTTTATAAAAAATTCTCCCAGTTGTTTTACCTCCCTCTATGGTTTGCTCAGGCTGCTATTAAAATTAGCTTGCATATATTGATTAATGGCTAATTGACTTTGGGGAACACAACCTTGCACTGCTCTGGAAGATGAAAGCTAGCAATTGAGGGTTAACTAGCATTCTTAGAAACAAGAGACTTCATTCAATTATACTTTATGTATAACATCTATCTATGTATCAAATTAGCCTAAGATCTGCTATTATTTAAGAAACAAAGTGCAGCCCATTTGTAAATGTAACCACCATTTTATTTCAGGAGAGCAGATAGAATCATAAATTTAAGACCTATCAAGAATTCATTTGTGTACCTTGTTTGGTCAAATTAGTTGATTCTTTAGGCAATTCTCAATTCAAGTTGAAAAGGAAACCTTTTTATTCTGAGGCCTAACTCAACAGACAAATGGACTTCTTTTAAGGTAAATTTGAGTTGGGACAGTTTTTGTTAAATATTAACAGTATGATTGGAGAACTGTCAAAATGCTACAAGAAGATGGCTATTTTTCCCTGGGCTTTTTTGGATAAAAAAGGGGGGAGAAACCCTGTAGAATTACTGTCAAAGTTTTAATAATGTTAATACTTTATTTTCTTAGAGAAATCCTAATTATTTGCTGCTCCATTCTCTTTTTCACATAGACCCATTTGAACCACAGCGGCGTCTTCCTGTGAAGAAAAGTCGACAACAACTTCAACGAGAAAAAGCCCTTCAAGAGCAGAGCCAAAAACTTGGACTTCAAGAGGGATCAACCTCAGTACCTCCAGAGCAGTTGCTTTCCACACCAAAACCAAGTTTTAATAGTCCAAAACCACATTCTTCTCCCCCTGTTCCTCCTAGTCCTCTGACACTCACCTCTCCTGTTGGTAATGGAAAACCACAGGGTATTGAAAGTCAACCAAGGGAACTAGGATTCGAGAATTCCCATGATAGTCACAAAAACACCGAGGTTCTACCCCCAGAGCCAGATTGCAAAATGGAAAAAAAGAAAGTGGAATTGTTAGTAAGTCTGTATATCAATGAGATTTTTTTTTCCATTTTACTTTTTTTTTTTCCTTCACTACGTTTTGAAGAAATAGAGTTTTAACCTTTTCTCTTTTAAATTCTAACCTAGAAGTGTAGTGAATAGTCTTTGAAAGAATAGCTACCCCATAAATGTATGGTAAGCCAGTTGGTGTTGGCATGTTATACGGGTTATGTCACTTAGTTTTCACAGCAGCTTCCAGATCCTGTTCATGATTTTCACTTTATAGATGAAATCTTGGACTCAGAAAAGATACTTTATTCCCAAATCAAATACATAGCCAATAAGTACAAGAGTTGGGGTTCACTTACAAGTCTTTCCGGATCCAAAGTCTCTGCCCTTTACCCTCACTAGAAACAGTTCTTATGCACAGTCCTCACCTAATCCCGAAATCAAACCAGTCTTCACTTTCCAGACTCCATATACATTGGCCAAGAAAAAAGTATTTGTGAAGAGATACAATATGAAGGGATGCTCAAAGGAAAGTTGAAATTGAGAGGACTAATAAAACAATTCACCTGCATCATTAGATTTCTTTTTATTCTTATTTAATGTGCTTATGTTAGAAACTACCTCCAGAATTTAGTTTAGAAACATTCTTTTGGAAATTGCCAATCTATCACTTGTGAATTCTATAGCTTAGTTTTAATATCCATTCTTATTTGTTTCCTCCTGATTGATCAGGATGCCATTTGTTTCTGTTTTCCATTTTCTGAGTCTTTCGAAGTATCGTATGATTTCTCTGATCCAGATTCTGTGCTCTGAGTTCACAACCAAGAAATCATTTTTACAAGAGAAATAAAGCCATATGAATTATGAGATCAGCATTGAATGAGTGCATATAGTTAAGTGTTTTTAAGTGTAGTTTGCCAGTGTAGTTGTGCCAACTTGACACAAGTTGGGGAGGGTGGATTTAAATTAAGCTGGACAATTTAGATTGAATGTTGTTAGGAAAATAAATTTTTTTAGGTACTCGGGAGAATTTTCATAGAAGACATGCAATCTCAGGAACTATTGTTGACAAAGAGGAATTCTGAGCCTATAAGAAAGGGAAAGGGAAATCTCTATCCTGAAGAGTGCTCAGAGATGGCATCTCACTTCTCTGGAAGATCCAAAAGCGAGGCCAGAGAATAGTGGAGAATGAGGGAAGCGAAGAAGGATATGGAAATTGAGGGTTCCTATCTATCGAGTTCAGTGTAGTTGGTTATCATCAAGGCCTCTGAGGGAGAGATGCCCTGATCAAAACAACATTTAGGGAAAATGCAGGTGTCAGTGTTGTGGCGCATTTGGGAGAGGGTGCTCACTGAGCTGGAACTCTGGCATCTGGTGAGAAGATGCCTGCGATAGTTGAAAGTGGACCAGTGCTAGCACCAGAGTGGAGGCTGTAGGAATGAAAAGAAAACGATAAATTTAGAAGTGGTTACTGAGTCTGGGACTAGAGCATTTTGAGACAATGGCCATAAGAATTGACAATAATAGGAATAAATAGCTTTGTCATTATGTTGAGTTGACATCAAGTTGTTGATTTTATGGAAAATTTTCAATATACCTCTTCCAGAATTGGACAGATGGAAGACTGTTTTCAGATCTTTCAAGTTTCTCAGTAGCCCAGCATTCAGATCTTAGCTCATAGTGTTCCACTCTGTTTCATGTTTGAGAACTGAGAGAAATTGAAAAAGTAAAATAAGCATTGTTTGTTGTCCTAAGGGTGTAAAGTGATAGAGACTTTCATTATAGAAAACTCTAAAAGATAGAACGTGACATTAGCGACGTACCAATTTATTTTGATCTCCATTTTGCATATAATACATAATTAACTTATACAACTTTCTTTGTACTCCTAAGAAATGCCATAGTACTCTGGCTTCCAGTTTGTGGCTTCCTAGATTATACACATATAATGGATTTCAAAGGACCAGTTTATGTAAGCCTTCTTTATTTTAAATCATAATCTTTGTTCCTATTAGAACAAAATAATGAGCTGCAGATGGGTTCCTTTTAAGAGGGTTTTTGAAGGAAAATATACATAATCTGGTTGATTTTATTTTATACATAGGGAACTGAGACTGGTAAGGTGTAGGATAGGGCTTCAGAAACTCATTTTTGCTTTTTTTTTTTTTTTGCCCTAGGCAAGAAAAATCTCGTTGGGAAGTCCTCCAACAAGAGCAACGGCTAATGGAAGAGAAAAATAAACGTAAGAAAGCTCTTTTGGCTAAAGCTATTGCAGAAAGGTGAGGCACCCGAATTAGGAGTGGTTGTTTGTAACCTGCAATCAATTCTGTCATGTTTTATATGTGTTTGCCCTTGTTTTTTGATAAATTGACATTTTCTCTACAACATTCCTTTTTTAAATTTTTTTGTAAAGTAGGTTCCCTGCCCAGTGTAGGGCTTGAACTCAACCCTAAGATCAAGAGTCACCTACTCTACTGACTCAGCCAGCCAGGCGCCCCTCTACGGCATTATTTCTAAGGCTAACTAAACAAATTATGTTTTACAAATGATACTAAAATTCCAGTGTTGATTTATTAAGGAGGACTTTGTAAGCATAGATTGTACCAAATTTGTGAATACAGGTGCAATTAAAACTTCACAATCAACATCAGTGTTTTCAGTTTTAACCATCTACACATTCTTTTTTTTTTTTTTTTTAAGATTTTATTTATTTATTCATGAGAGACACAGAATGAGAGAGAGAGGCAGAGACTCAGGCAGAGGGAGAAGCAGGCTCCACACAGGGGGCCCAATATGGGACTGGATCCCAGGACTCCAGGATCACGCCCTGGGCCGAAGGCAGGCGCTAAATTGCTGAGCCACCCAGGGATCCCCCCATCTACACATTCTAATAAGGAAGCAATGACCAGTATAAGGGCACTAGCAACAAACACAGGTTTTAATTTTGACAAGGGAGGGCTTGACTGTGTGACAGGTTAGAAGAGTAAGATTATTTATTCTACATAAGTGACTTCCACTCCCAGAAATCTTGATTGTATTTTCTGTGGACATTTTTCCTGAATGATTTACCTGCCCCCGCCGATGCATGATGTAACCTTTTATCAGTGACTCAAGGTCACCATCATGAGCACTCTGCCATACTATGTGCACTTCAATTTTTCTGTCACCTTCCAATGTCAGTTTGTTAGCAGCTGCTTTTCCTTTACTACATTGTGCTGGCTTCCAACAGCAGCATTGATATTTGAGCCATTTGCCAACCCTCACCCACTCTTTCTGCCTTTTTAGTTTGTAGTTTACCATGTGCTGTGGCCTTAGGAAACCAAGCTCAGTCGCTGAAGCACTGATTGAGAATAAGGAGAATGAAATGCAAGCAAGCATTCTTGGCATTTTCTTTTCAGATCTCCAGAAAAGCCTGGAAAAACTATTGGTTATTGAAGCTTGCATATGTGTCAGGGGAGGGCAAGGGACAGGGCTAGAGAGACAGACAGGTAGGTATGAGTAATTCAGAATTTCATCTGTCAAGGATATATGTATTCACAAATGGCAATTTTTTTTTCTCCAGCTGCTCCCCCTTGATGTTTTATGAAACGTAGGAAATATACAACTTACTGAACTTAATGTTTCAAGAAAAAAAAACATGATTATTGAAAGTGAAATATGATTTTGGAAATCACTTTGGAAATCACTTCAAGTGGAATGATTTTTGGAAGTCTTCATTTTGGGAGTGTTTGGGGAGGCTGTTCATAGGGGATTTTACAAAAAGATTATAGGATCAGCACTTTTTTTAAGATTTTATTTATTTATTCATGAAAGACAGAGAGAGACAGAGGCAGGCTCAATGCAGGGAGCCCGATGTGGGACTCGATCCTGGGACTCCGGGATCACGCCCTGAGCCCCAAAGGCAGGCACTCAACCGCTGAGCCACCCAGGCATCCCTCAGCACTTGTTCTTTATGTGTTTTTTATTGAAGACAGAAAGTATTGATACAGGCAGAAATGTAAGGAAATGAACCTGATTAGATTATTAATAAATGTGCCAGTGAAGTACTTGAAGTAAAGGAATCATCATACTGTTATCTTTAGGCAGAAAACAAGGGAAAATGTATAATAGAGTAGAAATCAGGAGGATGTAAGTTGCAATATAATGATTTTCTGGGGGAGTTTTAGTCTCCTGTGAGAATGGGTATGAAATTTTGAAATAAGTAAAATCAGATTAAAGGTTGGCTTTTGAATTTGTTTATTCTGTTTCTTCAGTGTGTCATGTATTTGGAGATAGTGTGCCGACTGAGGTTGGATGTGCTTTAAGCACAGGAAAAAGTAAACAGTATTCTGGGGTTTTGAGCGTCAGAAAGAATTTTGAGGACCTGTAGTACTGCCTAAAAACAAGAACCAAAATAGTAAAAGTTTGGGGAAATGAGTCCTAAGAAGGTTAAAACCAAATAGACATATAAAAAAAATGGTGTTTTAAAAACAAACAAACAAACAGAAAGAAATGGTAATTAATGTAGGCATCAGTTCTTTTGTCTACTAAGTATTAGACAAATGAAAATGGGCTTAGCAAGAATTTAAAGCTAGAAATTTGGAAAGGTTTGTTGGATATTCCATGTAAAGAAATAAAGATCTGTTGTTTCAGTGCTTATTCTCATCCTCATGAAATGAATATAGACCTATAAGTGAACTATTAGTTGTTTTTTTTTATCTTTTTCTTTTGTGTATTGGAATAGTAAGGGACAATAAATAGCACAAATGCAATTTTAGAGATATACCGAAATATTACCAGCATTGGTTTTATTTCAATTTGTGCTATTTTTTTTCTAATTTCTAAAAATTATACATTAAAATCATATTGTATATATATAGTAGGTTGCTTTTTTTACTTGTGTATAGATAAGTGATTTTAAAATGCTTTTATTATTATACTCATTTTTCTAGATCTAAAAGAACTCAAGCAGAGGCCTTGAAACTAAAGCGGATTCAAAAAGAGTTACAGGCTCTAGATGACATGGTGTCAGCTGACATTGGAATCCTTAGAAACCGGATTGATCAGGCCAGCCTCGAGTATTCATATGCTCGGTGAGTTGAGAGACCTCTGAACCAGGAACCAAAATTAACTAATACTTAATGCTAGCTGGGCCAGAAGCTTTCGGGTATACCATCATTGAAGCCTCATAACAATATCATTAAATCCTGTTTTGTACTCAATCAGGTGTCTCCTCTTCTTAAAGTCTTCCTTAACTTTCCCCACCCTTGTTCATATTCCTTTTAGAGTGTTTCTTGCATTATTTATTTATATTTTAGCCTGCCTTCTTGCTAAACAATCAGCTATGTAATGTTTGGAACTGTAAGTGTCTAAATGACTTGTCCCCAAATTCTGTTATTCTAACACCATGTCTATTCTCTATTAAATTTTGATTATCTAAGATGGTCCTTAGAGATTAGCATAGTTTTCATTTCATTTTTCATCAAAGAAAGAATATCTAGTTTATTTTTTTAAAAAGCCTGTATTTTGAAGAAAATACCACTCTGTCCTGAAAGCTTGAAGTTTTTTCTCTTTTTTTTTTTCTTTTTGTGTTCTATATATAATAGTTTGCTATCATGTGTTTGGTTTCAACCATTGGCATTTTTTTAGTAAAAAACCATCATGGAGTATTTCTAACATGAACTAACACATGTAAAGAATTACATGAACTTTGCAAGCAGATAAAAGGGCAAAAAATTAGGTCCAATTTCAGGGTTTTCAGTCCTTTCAGCGTTGCTTTAATCATCCTGGTTTGTCTTTTTTCACAAGGGAATGCCGTGTTAATGACAGTTTTGCATCTCTGTAACATTAGAAATCAATCAGAATGCCTCATTAGTCCAGGGTAAACCACAGCATCAGAATGTTTATATAACAATTTAATAAAGCGGAAATACTTGATTGTGGTTTTTAATTCATTGTTTATTAAGAAAGAGGTTTGTGGTGCCCTTGTGATTTTTTTTAATTGTTTAACCGTATGCTGTTAGACTTAATGGGTTGCCTTTATTAATTAACCGCTTAAGTTAATGCCATCAGTAGCTGATAACTGGAGGTTCCAGATTTCTATTAAGATCATTACGGAGGTAACCAAGATTTCATTAAGCTTAAATTAATCCTAGATTTTTAGCATATTTTATCTCTGTAGCCTAAGTTTACTAGAGGAACATTCTTATGCCTTTGTAGCCCTTTATATGAATAATTCAGATAATTATGGATACATCAACAGAAAAATCATCTCATGTTTTAATTCTGTCCTAAAGGAGGCTGGAGAAGGATTCATTTGTATGTCAAACAGTATATAAGAAATGTCATGGTTTTAGGCTTTAGGTGGTATTACTGGTTAAAGAAGAAAACATCCCATAATATATAAATGTGTTTAATGAAATTTTAGTAATATTTACATAGTAAAAAAATTTTACATAAAATTTTATGTCTCTTAACAAACTAAAGATAGCAATTTCTCATGGTACTGATATTGACATAGTTGTATGTGAATATCCTTTTGTATGTGTGAGGCTATTTTTAAAAATCTAAGCTCTTGAGGAAGTTAGGGAAAAGCTGTAGACAATTGTGACTAGGACCAGCATTGTATCTTGTTCATGCATAAGATTTTAAGACATCATTTTCTAAATTTACATCTGTGGCTATTGAGAAATTAGAGATTGATGATACAATATTGTGGTTTAGATTTCTACTAGTAAGCTAATCCCCAGGGCAGCCAGTTTCTTTGGGAGATTTCCTTGATTTTTTTTTTTTTAATGAAAATAATATTGTGGTTTTTTAGTACCTGGTACAGTACTCTCTGCACAAAAAGTTCTTGGTTAATGAATAGGCCAGAATTTGCTTTAAAAGTGGTTTCTGTAGAGCACTGCTAGGGTAGACCCCACTAAGAAGACCAGCACTTTGAACCAAAAAGAGTTACTGCTGCCGTTCACATCTGTGACTACCAGGCTGCAGTGTGCTGCATAGATCAGCTTGTGAAGCAGAGTTGCCATGTGTAGAACTTTTCTTTGACCATTTGTGTACCAGGAAAAAATATAATTGTTGTTTGTCATCTATGTTTAATAGACATTCTCATTAACATGTATGCATACATGTGCACACAAACACACATAAATGTTTTATGTATAATTTACAGAAGTAAAAATAATAGGGATTGTGGGAAACAACTTTATTAAAAATTTTAATAAGAATGTAAGCATAGCAGACCTCCTTGTATCAAGTAATGTTAGACTCCCAACATAAAAAAAGCTGAAAGAATGCAGTTACCTCCTTTTACAACACAAGATGGTCCAAATACTTGTAAAATACTCTGTGATCGAGTTCTTCCGTTGGAATTATTAACTCTATGAGAATAACATATCCTTTTTATCCTCAAAAATATGTTTTTCATTCATTAACTCTGAATTTGAGAAAATTCATCTAGGATGTGTTTTCCAAAGTCTCCTGCTCTTGAGATTTCACACATGTGATCAGTTTCACCACTGAGACCCTAGGCTGTCTGTTTCTGCCTTTGTAATAGGTTCCTAGGGCTGCCATTACAAACAGTGATTTAAAACAACAGAAATGTGTTCTCTACATTTCTGGAAGCCAGAGTTTGAAATCAAGGTGCTGGCGTGATCAGTCTTCCTTCAGAGACTCTAGGAAAGAGTCCATTCCTTGCCTCTTCAAGTTTCTATGGCTGTAGGCACTCCTTGGCTTGTGGCTGCACCAAGTTGTGTGCCTCTGTAGTCACATTGCCTCCTCTTCTTCTCTCTCAAAACTTCCTCTGCCTCTTTCTTAAAAGGATACATGTGACTGTATTTAGGGTCCAACTCAATAATTCAGAATAAACTCCTTTCAGAATCTTTAACTTAGGGACACCGGGTGGCTCAGCGGTTGAGCATTTGCCTTTGGCTCAGGGTGTGATCCCAGAGTCCTGGGATCAAGTCCCACATCCAGCTTCCTGCTTGGAGCCTGCTTCTCCCTCTGCCTATGTCTCTGCCTCTGTCTCTCTGTGTCTCTCATAAATTAAATAAATAAATAAATAGATAGATAGATAGATAGATAGATAAATAAATAAATAAATAAATAAATAAATAAATAAAATATTTAAAAATCTTTAACTTAATATATTTTGCCACATAAGATAATATTTACAGATTCTGGGGACTAGGAAGTAAATATCTATGGATGGTCATGTTTTTAGCGTACCACAACAATCATCTTTTGATTTGTCTGATAGCTGCAAAATACCTTTATCTGTCAGCTCTCTCTACTTTGCCACTGTGGGGAGGAAATGAAAAATCTTAATTCTGAACTGTGTTCAATGAAAGCTGAGAACAAATTACAGAAATGATGTTTCTAGTCTTTTTTTTATATCTTTTTGAAAGATGAGGTAATACTTTGGACACCACAGTAAGGAAACTAAACAGTGATGGATTTACTTCACTGTGGCATCATCCACTTCACCGTGGCATCATCCTTTAGATCATTCCATCATTCTTTGTTTTCTTATTAAATTTTTCCCTGGATAAATGGGAATAATTGATGAGTAATAAGGAAATAATTCCCAGGCAAAATGTTCAAGATATAGGAAAAATATATCCTATCTCAACAATCCTGCAATGTATCTCAGATTTATAAAAGCATCCAATGGACCCGTATAGAAATTGCAGAATGTAGTTTTATTCTATCCTTTCTTATGATAAAAACCTTGACATGTTGATCCTTACAAATAGAACTGCTTGGAAAAGGAACTGGAAAACTAAAAGTGGATCAGTGGAACCTACTGACATGCTGAGGGTTAATGATTGAGTTCTCAAATAATTTCAGGATACCAAAACCAAGAGACAGTTTCTAGAATCCTTTAAATAACATTCATTAAATCACTCGATGTCCCTTTAAAATAAAACAATTCAGTGATTATATTTCCAGTTCAATTTATTTTACTGTGCTATATATAATGCTCTTACTATTCTGTTCCAAAATATGTCATCATATTCTGATTTGGTATTATCCACCTGACCCTCCGGCTCATAGTGCAGTTTGTGAAATTAATCAATATTTCAAACATAAATCACTCTATGCAAAAATATATATGCATATTTCTGGCCAGAAGAACTTTAAATAAATAAACATAATGCAAAATCTGCAGTGATTTATCCAGGGTGAAAGATCAATGGAAACCTAGGGACCTATTTGCAAATTTAATTTCAATTCAGCATTCATGAGCGCAGTCAGTAAATCTTTACTAACTGACTTTGGCTGGGCTAGGGAGTCCCCAGACCACAGAAAGGAAGCCTGAGTTGGGGGAAGGGGCAAGGTATTCATATACCTGTAGAGAATGTTGCCAGAAATCTTAAGCTTGATGCAAGAATATTCATAAACAGGATATGTTTTAGAGTATGGAAATAAGGGATTCACATGTCCACCAAAGCTCCTTCTGAACAATTCTTTTAACACAGAGGGTAATTGAAAAACCATTAGTTTTCTCATTCTTATAGTTACTAGATGACAGTTTAAAAAATGAAATGCAGTAAATGAACATTATATAAATATGAGTTTTCAAATATAAACACCAGGTCCTTAAACTTTGCATAATTTCAGTGTTAGATACAGTACATGTTTAATGATACACTAACAATGTTTTTTGATTCTGGTGCTCTGAAGGAAGAGTTCTGTTTCTTGAGTGCCTACCAGCCACTGGGCAAGACACTTGTCCTGCTTAATCTTTAACACTCCTGTAAAGTAATAGTAATTATTGCCATTTTCCAAATAAACCAAAACTTAGATGAAGATACTACCAAGGGTCACTGTACTGGAATTTTCGGACATTGCACACATGTTGTCCACTTTCCTCCTTAAGAACCTAGCTGTGTTTTGTATGTACAATGCTGACCTTGGGGTACACCTGATGAGAACAAAGATAGGCTACCGATTGCAGAACATTTAATCCATTGACTAAATAGTGGTTCGTGACATGGCTGTGCTCTATAAGAGCTCTGTCTAAATTGATATGAGCCAAGCAGAACTAACCTGAGTCCTCCCCCTAGAATTGGAACACTTAGAAATTGAGTGGAGTGAATTTGATGTAGAGCCACAGCTGGTGGCCATATTGGGCTGTATGACTGGAAAGCCAAAATGAGAGAAACTGTGGTTTCTAAGCATTAAAGAGAATAGCTTTTGATTCTGATGACCTGCCTGTGAGATTGCCTCTTGTATCCTACAATAAAACCCACTTTTCACCTGAGCTAGTTTGACTGGGTATCTGTTCTTTACATCCAAAAAAGGTCTTGACCAGAACAGATACATACACATTAAATGGGAAAGGCAGGTTTTGAACCATAGGTTTTCTAAAATCAGGGCCTTTCATTTTTTCACTATATTTCTTTTCAAGATAGAGAATCTTGCATTGGGAGGTATGTTTTGCTGTAACTGTAGTACGAGAAATTACTTATTACTATGTTGAGTTGATGTAGCCAATTGTAACAGGTAAGGCAGCATGGCTTTCACAACCGTTAGTGGTTATTAAAGTGAATAATCAGTTGATTAAATTTGGGCGAGTCTCTTTTCCTGGCCAAAAAACAAAGCAAGTAAACAAAAAAAAACACAACAAATTACATGGAAAAGGCAAAAGACAGTGAACCAGCATATGATAATTTTTCTTTTCTGCGTTAACCTAATATAAAAGAAAAAAAAGACATCACAGGGTGACTTCCCCAGTAGAATTACCTCTTCTAAGATTGGCATTGTCTGTCTTTGAGAGTTGTATATATGTTAGAAGATAAAATGCCCTAACCAAAGTCACAGTAATCTGTTGTTGCAGAATGGAGAGAGAACAGCTTAACCCAGAGATTCTCAACTGGGGGCATTTTGCCCCTGAGGAGACTTTTGGTAATATCTGGAAACCTTTTTGGTTATTGACAAGTATTGGATACTACCAGCAGAAGTGGGAGAAAGCCAGTGTGATGCTGCTGCACATCCTACAATGTATAGGATGGCTCCAAACAACAGAGAAGGATTTGGTCCAAGTTGTCAATAGTGCCAGGATTGAGAAACCCTTCCTAAACCTATCCTGAAGTGTTTCTGTTCTACTTGCTGCTTGCTTCTTGCCTCACCTAGCATCATTTATATTTACCTTGCAGCTGCCATTAAGGATAAGGAAAAGGATCTTCACCAAAATTCTTCCTTTTCTAATCTGCTAATCAAAAGATGCAGATTTTCTTTTTTTTCTTTCTCCTATTGTTGTACTCCTACATCTTGACCAGTTGTCTGCTGGAGCTAGGTTGCACTGGTTTATGAGAGCAGAGTTTGTATATCTCTTCTCAGTTGTGCATTCAGTGATGTCACATTGACAGCCTGAAATTAACTTGGTGGTGGTAATATTTATACTACAGAAATTGACAAACACTGCAAATCAGAGCTCTCCCTAACCAGACCTAGCTCATGAACACTGAATTAACCTCTCAGCCGGCTTTCATTCAAGCACAGCTTCAGAAAGAGGAAATCAGTGCAGAAGAATGTTGTTAACATTAGGAAAGTCTAAACGTGGATGTTGTGAAAGTTTCAATATCAACAGCCTTGTTTGTCTGATATGCAGGACAGGTGTGCATAAAATATCACCATCCATATCTTCATTGTACTTTTTTTTTTTTTCCAATTCTGGAGTTTAATTATTCTTTCTAGGCCCTCCTTTGAATATCTTCTTTAGTGGCAAACCAATGGACCAATCTTTGTGCCTGTCTCTACAGGAAGCGCTTTGACAGGGCCGAAGCAGAGTATGTTACAGCAAAGCTAGATCTGCAGCGCAAGACTGAGATTAAAGAGCAACTCACTGAACACCTCTGTACAATTATACAACAGAATGAACTCCGCAAGGCCAAGAAGTTGGAGGAATTGATGCACCAACTGGATGTACAAGCTGATGAGGAGACTTTGGAGCTTGAGGTGGAAGTGGAGAGATTGCTGCATGAACAAGAAGCTGAAGCAGGGAAACAAATTGTTCATTTGGAGAGGCCATTTCAGCCTTCTGCAGAGTGTGTTGCATCAGGATTTGCCAAAGAGAACAAAAATCCTCAAGAACACACCACTTCCCTAAAGGTAGATGAACAGTGTGAAAATCCTAATAGCAATCCCCTTCTAAATCAAAGTCAAGAAGTCAAAACTACTGTAAAGGCCATTTCAGCTGCTCTGACCACATGAAGTGTGTGTTTGTTCCTTTCAGCTAGCGTGGTATTCAGTAAACTTCTGTTGTAGATTATGTTGTGAGCTCGGATAAGTGTGTCTTTAAGATGGTGTTCATTTTTGAATCCCTGGTTAGTTTTGGTATAACATGTTTGCCATTCTAAACCCTCAAATTATGATAATTTTATATGTAGGCACAGTTCACCTTGATCTAGGGCCATTTTCCTTAGTATACCCTGATTACCAGGTGAAAACAAATGACCTAAAAAGATGGAAGAAAAACTACATGGCTAAGAGTGTTAGACCAGGTAAATATAGAAAAGTAACATGGAAAATAATACTCAACACCTCGTCAAACTTACATGATTTCTCCTAGGAGAGCTGTTGATGATGAGAGACCTATTTTATGTAGTTAGCAAAGAAACACAAAAATTAAATGTGAAAAAGAGAAGGAAAAAAAATAACAAAAACAGCATGTTAAATTCTTTTGGATCCTACTAGAGCTGCAAAACACAACTTGGAAGTTGCAGTTTACAAAAGACAGCTTAAGTTACATTTTTGTCTTCAGTTTGCCTTTTAAATGGCTTTAATTTACAACCTGAGTTTCGGTTAGTTGATATACACAAATATACCACTAATACATGTAATCTTGCTGTTAATATATCATTTTTTTAATCAGCACATTAAATTTAGACAATGAAAACACTTCTACAATGAAGTTGATAATACAGAAAAATCTATCAATACTTTTGATATCAGAAAAAATTGATATGTTTCTTTCTAAAGCTATCTGTAAATATGTGTTGTTGGATATAAATTATCCTGTCATAAAGCATTTAAATTGTTAAACTGGTGATTTTTCTTAGTATTTTAATAGTTTTTAATTATTATTACTAGTACTTGACCACCACATTGTGTTATATGTGAATGTGTAAATAAATAATGTTGATTTGTCACAGCATCTGTGACTTTCACATTAAATTGTGATCGATTTATCAGAAATTCTGGAAAGTACAAATAATACATTTAAGTCTTGAAAAAAGAACTATTATAAAAAGAGTAAGGACAAATGTAATATTGTATTTATAATAATGCTGAGAAAGTTGGGGACATCCTATTTTTTAAATGAGTTTGAGGACATTTTAGCAGTGTGGATGAGCTGTGTATTTTTGTATTACATAATTTGAGTTGAAATTATAGCTTTCCATTACTGACTTATCTAAACAGGCATTTATATAAATAGTTGTATTTTTATTTATTAATGATATTCATCAAAACTGAAAGCATCATTGTCCAATACACTTATTTTTCTAAGGAATAAACGAGTCTGATAATCTAGGATGTGGTTGTTTGTTGACTCTTAAAAAAGTCTCAAGCACTTCAGTATGTATTCCTACACGCTACATAGCAGTCATGCATCCCATATCTCCATGTAGTAAATGCAGTCCTCTGCTTTTGTGTGAGCCTCTGTTAAGGGAGATTCTTCAGTGAATGAGGTTCCGTAAGATCGGCTACATACAAGGAGCTACAATCTCATTCTCGGTGGAAGTATTTATAAGGTATATGGAGAAAGGAGAACCATGAAATAAGTGAATTGGTAGGGACCTCAGAGATCATCTGATTTTATCTTCTTACTCTACAGAAGAGTAATTTGAGAGCCAGAGATTTCACTTACGACATGTTGGCCAACTGGCTTATCTTAGACTTAAAGTGCTAGTCACGTCGCAGTTCTAAAACTCTTAGTGTATCTCTTACATATTTTGAGCCATAAAGTTCACTGCATCCCTCCACTTGAAATTTTGTTTTATAACCCATTCAGGAATTGTGTTTGTGCTTGTGAAATGTTCTCAAATATGTCTATAAAAGGTCCACTGATACCATTATTTTGAAAAACTTGCTTTGCTTGGCTTTCCCAGGGTGGTATCCAAGTGCTCAGGTGATGATATAAGTGACAAAGTTCTATTGCATCAGTTTTGTACAAGGCAGCTGTATTCCATGTGTGGGAGGAATAAGAGCAAATGAAGAAGTGGGGGCTAATCGGTATGAGGACCATATGCACTAGCTTTGCCAGGATAGCCCTGATATCTTTTAAAATCATAAAACACTTTCAAAAGACTTTTGATATATGGATTCACAAATCCACAAATAATTGTTACTTTCTGTGAAGGAAATTATTGGTTCACAATTACTGCCCTCAGTTTATTGGAGCACTTTGTAGAACTTCCTCCCTGGTGTTAAACTCCTCTTCTACTTCTCAAATAGTTGGAGCATAAGGTTATCAGGGCTCTTAATAATGTGATGTATAATTTAGGAGTTAACTACTTTGTGTTCGTTCTCTCACTTGTTCTGTTTAAAAGATAACCAGTGGTAGTCATTTTCAACTCATTGTCTTAAAAAAAATGAAATCATACTCTGAAGGGTAAACTTGAATTCCTGAATTTAATAGTTCTTATTCCGTGATTCCCCACATTTTCTTTAAATGGAACCATTTTTATAGGTTTCAGAGAATTTTTTGAAGCACAGGCCTCATTGCATTTAAAATACAGTGAGAGTTTTCATGCTTTTCACCTTTGCATAATTCTACTGAATTACAGCACTTGCAAGGTGGTAAATCTTTATACTCACTGAGAGCACAGCTGGTTTCCAAGTCAGATGATAGAAATCTCTGATTGGAATTTCTAGAGCATATTTTACTGCTAGATTGGCATTTGAATTATAGAGCAAAAACTCAGCTATAAACCTCTCTCATTCTTTGTTTGGATTTAGCAACATAGTACTCTCAAGGAGCTTTATCTAAGTATTCAGCAACTTCCTTTTCCGAGACATTGGCACAAAACGGACTCAAGTTATTCTGACCCAGGCCATTCCCAGTGACCTTTATAAATGATGTTTTGGGTTTTGTATTTCTAAGGAGCCAAGTCAGCATTTTAAAAGGCCCTGATAGATATAACTCAGTCTGCCAGACAAGACCTGGGGCCACTCTGGACCAGGGTAATTATACCCCCTCTCAACATAGATCTACCCCAGGCCTGACTTGAACTACTCTCCGGAGGGATGAAGCAGGACACTATTCTCCATCTGCCTTTACCTTAATGTCAGCTACTTTTGCAAGCTCCTAATCCCAAACAGCTGTCTTGAAAATGCAGCATTATTTCTTTATGCAATTGATCAAACAACTGTATGTAGCTACATATATGGACAGAGCCATGTGAGAGGTGTGTAATCTGCACCTTTTGTCCTTAAACTTATAGTCTACTTGAAGGACTAGGATTTACACTCAAAACAAAGGCTGATACAGAGTATGTCTTCTTGATAGGAGATAAACTGAGTGGTTAGACCACAACATAGATGCATCCTTCAGAAGTACCAAAATTTTAGAACACTTCTAATTTTAAATGTTCTGTCCAGTTTTTTGTTTTGTTTACAATCTATGAATGTATCTAGGGCATGCCATATCTTTCAGTTTGCCTTTAGCAGTGAGGAGCAACACATATACAACTTACACAACAAAAAGCCTCTGATAGACAACATGTACAGATTCTAAGTTAAAAAAAAAATCATACCACTGCAATAAGAGTATTGGGAAAAAGAGGTTTTTGCATGATTTAAAAGAGGGGGCCACTGGGATTTATTAGAAAATTTTATTTTAAAAACCCAAGTATTAGAAAAATTAAGTACATGACAGAGGGTTGAAGGTGTCTTATGTGGACAATAGCATAAATATAAGAGCTCATTGCAGTAACTCAAGGTGTTGCTGAATCAGGGAGCAATAATTATTTACCCAAGCCAGAACAAGGTGGAAATGGAACAGACTTCTTGTGTGAACTCAAGGATAACTCAACATGGTGCGTGTTCCAAAATCACATATAAGAGAGGTCTTTCCAAGCCAAATGACTCTAGGAGCCTAAAATAGAGCCATAATTAAGCAATAAGACGTGACAGGGAACACATTTCTCAGTGATTATAGCATGCCTCAAGGGATAAGTCACTAGGCCAAAGGTTCATGTGATGAGTGAAATAATAACCCTGCAATGTATAGCATCACACTGTTAGTGGGAGAATGAGAAGGAAATGAATAATTGGGGTTGGAAGAATCATTTCTTGACTCCAGTTGTTGGGCAATAATACTTCCATACGTATAGTACATGTCGCCATTAGTTGTATCCAGCATCCCGGAGCTCTGGATTTACACTAGAGCTTTCACTTTAAAACTCTGCAGAATTGTCCATCTCATTTTCTTAGCCAAGCAAAAACTAGGCAATTAAGGTACAACCTTGGAAGTCCATAGCCATATACATGGAACTTCAGTCTGGTAGAATTATAATTGTGGACGCTTATATCTGGCTCTTAGAACTGAAAAATAGCTGAAGCAGCCACACTGAATCATTTTCAATATTTTGTCTTATTTACCTCATGTGTGTTTCCCTCAGAAACTACCAGTAGACATGGCCCCAATGTCACACAGGTCCAGAAACCTCTCTGGTCTTCTGGGCTAGCTTTCCTTGCCCTTACTGCTATGCTGCTGGTGGAAGACAGGGAAAACTCCAGAGCCAGTAGCCAGTGGAACTCCATGCTATGGTAGAGGCAGGCCTTTTACCTGGATGAGAAGGGAGACTACCCACTAACTACAGTGGGGTGAAAATTTTCCAGACTGCCAGATGCCCTGAAAAGCCAATAGAGGCAGTTGTCTGTCAGTTTCCTGTCCATGTGTCTGTGATTCTTTTTTTTTTTTTTTGGTGTGTGTGTGAGTGTCTGTGATTCTTAATTCATCACTTCAGAAGATCATTAAAAATCTTCTGAACCAACCTCAGAGAACAAGATTTTTGTGCTCCTTAATGTCTCCCATGGCGTAGGCTAGGGCTATACCCTGGACGAATTCTGGTCAAATAGTGATTTATCTTAGCCCAGGTGACCAGTGCCCTCACCCTCTCCCAAAATCTGCTTTTAAGAAAAGAGCTGAAGACAGACTATAGACAACGTTTGCATCCCTCCAAAATTCGTACGCTGAAACCTAACCATCACATGATAGTATCAGAAGATGGGACTTTGGGGCGGTGATTAGGTCAGGACGGTAGAGCCGTCATGAATGGGATTTGTGCACTTATTAAAGAGACCCCAGAATGTTCCCTGGCTCTTTCCACTGTGTGAGGACATAGCAAGAAGGCATCCTATGAACCAGGATACAGGTTCTCACCAGAGAGCAAATCTGCCAGCACCTTGATCTTGCACTTTCCAGCCTCCAAACTGTGAGAAATAAACATCTTGTTTTTAAGTATATTATTCTGTTACAGCACCCCAAACAGACTAAGACAACAGTTACATCTTGAGGAGACTAAATAGGTTACTTTCCTCAAGTGTCTCCTTTTAATATAATGAAATCTATTTAAAGCAATGTATTTTAGCTTGTGTAGTGGAAATCTTAACCTGGCATCAGCAATTTCAAGCATCAGAGAGCACATGTGAGAATGGGGGTGTAGTGAGCTGCCTGGAGAGAGGGCTTGAGGAGATCCTGCAATCATACTCCACTGCATGAACTAAGAAAGGAGTCCCTGGAGCCTGTATTGCCCATGGGTTTATAAACTCCATTTGAAGAAAATTACCCCAAGCTGTCCTCCCCCAACTTCCTATTGCTAGTGCAATATGCAGTTAAAGAAGTGAAACCAAGTGTGCCATTCCAGCTACATATATGGTTGCATAGTAAACCATCCCATAACTGTCTTCAAACAGCAACCACTGTTTTGTTCATGATTCTGTGGGTTATTAATTAGGTCTAGGCTGGCCAGTTCTCTGGTATTTTTGGTATCTCTCATGTGGCTGCAGTAATTTGGTGGGGTACGTGATCTAAGAGAGCTCCACTTACATTCTGGCAGTTGGTGATACCTGTCTTCTGGGCCTTTTTCTCCAGTTTGTCTCTTATCTGCAAGAAGGCTAGCTTGACTCTCTATTCATGGAGGTTCCAGAGTTTCAAGATGGCAAGACTGGAGCTCCAAGGCTTCCTGGGACCCAGGTTGCACAGTCACACATATCACTTCTGCTGCACTCTGCTGATCAAAGGAAGTCACAAGACCAGCCCAGATTCCAGTGGTGGGGGAGTAGACTGAACATCTTGATGGGAGGAGTAGGAGACTCACAATGCAAAGGAATGATCATCTAGGAAGGGGAGGAATTGTGGTCATCTTCGCAAACCATTTACCATGGTGTGCCCCTGCTTGCTCCAATAATTCACATTTGTCCCATATACAAAATGGACTCACCATCCCCCCAAATTCTCATTCCATTATGGTGTCAGCCATGCAGTCCATGATCTCATCATCTGATCAAGCCCAGATGTGAATGAGCCTCCTCAGGTATGGCCCCTTCAATGTGGCTCCTCTTGATCTAAAGACCTCCGAGCTAAAATAAAAAGTCACCTGTTCTCCCCACACCTCAATACACAGTGGTGAGACAGGGCAGGTTAGCTCAGTGGACATTCACTTTTAAAAAGGAGGGGTGTGAAGCAGAGAGAAGGCACTCTGAAATCTAACCTGGGGTATATTATCAGGTCTCCCTCTTCTGGGAGCAGGGAATAATGAAAGGCCGAGTTTTCATCTCAGGGAATGGCTTCCTAGATCAGTGTTCTCCACAATTCTCAGCTCTATACTTAGAGATATCTTTGCTTTTCCACAAAAAATGACACGGGTTTGCAACAGAGAAGTTTTATCAGCCTGCTTCCTGGCC